CTAATATTTTAGATGAGACCATCTTTATATTTTAAGTCTAGAAAATTATAACCTATCCATGAAGAAGGTTTCCATCAAGTAGATGCCACCATTGGGGAAGAATAATGTCCTCAAAGCTTGTTTAGTATAAAAAATTTATATAAAAATTTACAAAATTTACAATGGTATCACATTGACACATGTACACAATCAAGTTGAGTCAAAAGTTTCTACTAAAATGAGTCATTTAAAAAAGATAAAGTGAATGAGAATGTATCTTTTGAGAAAGATGTTGATGAATTCAAATGATTGTCTAAAGATGCTTTATTTCGTTAAAGTGGGACTTATTCAGTAAAGTGGGACATTAATTAGCATGTGTCCACATGCCATTTCCTAGTACTTAATTAATATTTATTAATATTTCTATCAGTTTTTTAATTTATTTTTTTATATTTCACAATATTATAACATAAAATCATATGAAAAGTTTTTAATTTATAAATTATAAAGTTAAAACTTCAATTTTTTATTGTTGTTATAAAAATGGCATGTGGCCACACACCATAAGTGGGATAATGAAAAGTCCCACTTTAACGAAATAAAGCATAAAGTGGTGAAGTCCTTGAGAGTTATTATAGAAACTTGTCTAAAATATTTAAACCTTGGGGAAATACTCTAATAAGAGGAAAGTCAACTTGAATCCCAACGTAAAAGTTACATAAAGTCTTGAAAAAAAGTGTAAGGAACCAAAGGGAATAATTTAATAAACAGTCCATTAAGGTTTAAATATAAAAGGAAATTACCTATAAACAAGACTGCACTTTTTTTTTTCCAATTGGTTGAATGTTTTAGGATATTTAAGGTTAAGCATTCTTGACTTTGAGTAGTATTAAACTAGATGACTTTTTAAAAAATTCAAATTAAAAAATTTACATTTGGTATCAGAGGGGCATTAAATCCAATTCTATTCGTTAACTAAATAAAATCACATCATATATTAATTTTGACATTATATTTGGTATTTAAAAGTGTCTTATATTTAACTCTATTTAACGATCATTTAGTTTTCGTTCACAAGAGTATGAATTTACAAAGAAGCATAATAGATTGTAAGTAATCAAAGGGAATGCCAAAAGTTAAATTAAAAATCTTTTAAATAATGACAGAAACTCCTTTGATTATGCCATTCTCCATTAACACATTTATTGCAACTAAATTAAGTGTTAAAAAGATAGTCTCTACTCCAATACTAACCACTATGGGAATGGAGGATGGAACTTCAAGCTTTATAAGAGGTGGGGGAATCTCCAAAAAATGTTAAAAGTCTTGGTAATCCACCAAAAACTGTTCTAAATTTAGTTAAGCATTTGTAATGGTCTTTATAAACTCAATATATATAAATCATTTGTAAGACTTGTCATCTTTTGGTTATTACTACTTATTATAATTTTTAAATCTATTGGAAGCTAAAATAAAGTCTCTAGTAAGACATATCTAAAATAGAGAGTATTGGTATTTTATAATATTCTATTGAGGTATTTACTGTGATACTAAATTATACTTCTAATGCTAAATTATCACTAAGCATTGTAACTAAAGATTCACAAGCATAATATGGTTATGTGATACAAACCTTGTTTGCTCCCAAAAAGTGTGCAAAAGTAATAGAATTCAAATCTTAAGAGGTGGCTTTAACTATAAATTAATTTTCTTTTCTATAAAAGACTCACATAGGTGAAGAATAATGGGAGTCTTGATAGCTAAAATATTTGTAACTAATGCTGTTATATTCGAAGTCCTAAAATTTTCATTTTTACTTGTACAACCTAAGATGGAAGAAGAGGTTGCCCTTGTACTTCTTTCTAACTTATTTGTTCTCCTCCTAAATAGAAGTGAAACTCAAAAGAAGAAATATTATCAACAAATGTCCTCATAAAAACCCTTATAGCAAATAAATGTCGAGATCTCAATTTAGGGACAATAAAGAATAGCTCAATAAAAAACTCAAAATAAAATCTAAATAAAGATTAAAAATGCTAGCTAAAAAATGTATAAATACATTCAAAACCTCATAAAAACAACATAAGGAGAGAAAAGTGATAAGATCTTTATAAAAAAGCACCAAAATTGCTTAAAAGAAAATTGTCATCAAGATCTCTTTAAAAGTGAAGAAAAAGATCCAAGAGAGTGCCTTAAAAATTGCAAGACAAAGAGAAAGAATTATTCAAAAACCATGATAATAAAAGCTAAATAAAATCTTCTAGAAGAAAGATTAAATGATGCAAGAAGACACTTGTTGGAAACCTCAAAGATGGATCATTCAAATGCAACAAAGAAAATTAGAAAAGGTAACTTATAGTGAACGTGATAAACTTGCAATTATACCTTGGTGGACATCAAAATGAAATTCTCCTTTCTTGTCACAATCCTTGTACTAAATCTAAAGATTTTTTATTCCAAACAATAGAGAATAACAAGATTTACAAACCCATCCATTCAATTTGCCAACAAGAAGATAAATAAATCATAATAATAAGATTTGCAGTCATGAGTAAAGCCAAAGAAAAGTAAAAAACAATAAAGGAAATTCACTCATGCAAAGAATCCCTAAGGAAGAAAATTGTACTCAAATGTCTCTTAATCTAACCCAAAATAAAAAAAGAAAAACATAAGTTACCTAAGACCAGTCCCTCAATATTTCTAGATGATAGCTTACTGTGTCTGCCAAACACCCTCATTATCATGCCTTTTGTGTTAGTTTCATTTCGATCCTAAATGCTATTTATGGACAGTGTTTAAATTTGCTCATTTGGCATATTTACAAAATGTAGAGATTGTACTAAACATAATGGTGTTCATCCCGTACATCCTACTGCACGACTTACTCTTAGTGTGCTCAAACAGAATAAGACAATTCAAGCAAAGATGCAAGTATGAATGAATATGAGAAGAAAGGTATATTGCTTTAGATGGAAAGAATATTCTTAGATGATGTTGGGCCAATTAGGAGTATAATTGTTCATAGTGGGTAGCACAAGTGAAAACACATCACATGTGGCAGAGCTGGCCTACCAACTAATTCAACCTACTATAGGACTACAGTGCAACCATCAAATCAAGGAACTCCATCTAAGAGTTTTGGGATGAAGCAATAGCAGTGGAATTTGGACATTCTAATGCAAAAACTAGACAAGATCAGGCACCCATACATCAAGTTGAACGATTCACCTAAGTCAGAGAAAAGAGCACTCTCACGGTCAAGATTTCGTAAGGCAATCTGTACAAAGCCGGTAAAACTTTCTGCAAGTTACTACCTAAAAAGCTCTTTCCTGACAAAGATCACGACATTTTCAAAAAATTTGAAGCAAAGATAGACCTGGACGCTATTTGAAGTGTGATTGAAAAAAATGAATGATTTCCATTTCCAAGTATGCTTGCAAGAACAATTGCAGCGACAAAACTTACCTGTCGAAGTTTCACTCGAAAACCCTGTCTCCGCTGGCGTATTTACAAAACACTGCGGCGCTGAAGACACAGAGAACCGCCGGAAGCCCGAAGACGAGCCTCCAGCTGCCAAGATCCGCCGGCCCATGGCTGGACGATTGCAGAATCCATCCCGTCAGGTTGACACCAACAATCCCCGCAAAAGTCCCAGCAGTGTTGGAGATCCCCATGACGATCCCAGCGTACCTGGGAGCTATGTCCATGTGGTTGACAGCAAAGCCAGCTCGTCCCAGCGCCAAGGATCCCAGTATCACCGACGAGCAAACTATCGCGCTCTGGACGGAAGAGATCTTCGGCATGATTCCCAGCCCAGCAGCAGCAACCACAAACCCCACGCCGTTGATCCACTTCCTGGTGTGAGCTACGTTCATGATCTTCCGGGTCACGAAGTAGTCCGCCACCAGTCCCCCCACATTGGACATGACGAACATCACCACGTATGGCATCGTCTTGGAGGCTCCCATGTGTTGCAAGCCGACGTGAAGGCCCTGATCGAAGTACGTCGGCAACCAGCTCATGAGGACGTAGAGAACGTAGTGGAACGTATAGTTGTTGACGACGATCGCCCACACCGGCAAGCTCTGGAGGATCTTCTTCCAAGGAATGTGGGTTCTTGATCGAGCAGCAGTAGCAGCAGCAGCAGCGGAAATCTCTAGCCCGCCAACCTTCTTCCAGTTCTCTTTCGTAGCAGCCGCCAGCAATCCATTCTCCTCGCCAGCCTTCACGGAATGGATGCTCTTGAGCTCGATGTCCGCCGGAGCTCCAAACCCCGCCGCCGAGGCCTTTGGATGCTCCGAGAGTGGCGGATCGATCGAGTAGAAGTGCCAGAAGATCGCCCAAGTGAGGCCCATGAGAGCTTCCATCACGTAGACCGCCCGGGGGCCGCTCCAATGGACGAGCTCCGGGAGGAAGAGCATCCCAAACGCGGCCCCGAGATACATCCCCGACGTGGTGAGAGAGACCGACCTGGATCGCTCGTGAGGGGGAACCCACTGCGCCAGGACGGTGTGGACCGATGGGATGATGAATCCCTGCGCGACACCTACGAGCACCCGGATCAAGATTATCACGGCGCTGTTGTGGCGCGGATCGATGGGCGTCGCGATGCACGCCAGCGTCCACGCGAAGAATGACCAGAGGAGGACCCTGCGGCCGCCGATGCGCTGCGCGACCCAGCCCCCCGGGACCTGGGAGATGGAGTAGCCGTAGAAGAAGGCCGAGAGGAGATTACCCTTGGATTTCTGCGTGATCCCGGCGGAATTGGCCGCGGCCGTGTAGGCGATGGAGAATCCCGTGCGCTCCACATAGCACACGGCCGTGCACACGAAGGTGAGCAGCACGATGATCCGGCGCTGGGGCCATTTCGACGACGCCATGCTTACATTTCCTTGCGGAATCTCTCCCGATCTGAGCGCCTTGCCTGGATCTACCTAGAATGAGGAATGCATTGGCGCTGTGATCCGTCCGCCATAGCCGAGCTTTCTCTCGATGTTTTAGGGTTTGACTTTGAAATAAATATGACGTGGATGCCACGTGCTAGACAGGTCACCCGCCACGCTGGCTACGCGCCAAAACTGTGGTTTAAACGAAAGGGCATTGCATTTTTAGGGCGGAAGCGTTTTGTTGAAGAGGGCGGCGATGAGGCGATCCCATGTAAGTGTCTCTCTTGGAAAGATCTCACGGCTTCTCTCAGCCGCCTGGAAGGGCTAAGCTCAAATCGCTCAAATCTGGAGTGTCCAAGTCCTGGAAGAATGCAATGTGTCGCGTCATCGTCCTCGTCTTGGTCGATCTGTTGATGTTGTCAAGACAAACAAAGGGAAGTCTTTCTGATTTCTTTTCTGGAGCTCCAGGCTTACGATCCAGTTGCTTGCTCTACATTCCAAGCGAGTCCGTATGGATGTGAGTTCACAGAAGATGTTGCGCTTCTGTCTTTCTCACTGTGAATTTCCTTTGTTTTTTTTGCTGTTCTTCAGTGACCATTCCTGACATCAAGCGAAGGTTTTGCATCACCCATGCTGTAAAGAGATACTTTCCTCAAGGGCATCACGACAATTTTGCCGACAGTGGAGTGGGTATCAAATTTCTCCTCTTTGAAAGTTTATTTTGTTCTTAAGCAGAACCTCCTTTTTGTTTTTCTTTCTATGTGTTTAGTGTCGTATCCGAGATTCGTCGCCGCCAAAGAGAACATCCGGGAAGCACATAATTTCTGGTCCCCATCGCTGTTCCGGTAAGTTAAGTTCGGTAACGTAAAATTTCCATGATCTTGAAAATTTTCTCTGCAGTGACGCAGCGGAACGTGATAAATGGAACAATTGATGCCAATGATTTGGTGCGCCGGCCAAACAGACGAGGACCCCAGCAGCTATTCCCGATTTCTCACTACAACGAAGACATCGTTGCCGGGAGATTTCATCCGAAAGAGACGGTACGCTGCCTAAGTTCTTCCAGACCCGTTTTTGTGACGAGGGTCTCTCCAGAAATGGGATCGGAAGCTCACGCTTGGCTACCCCGCGTTTGATCGAGAAGAAGTTCGTGAGAACTTGGTGAGAGGTAAACAGGTATGCTACCAGAGCTTCCTCGTCCTTTTCCATTTTGTTTCTGCGATGCTTCTCGTTCCTAGATTTGACTGATTGTTTCCAATCTCTCGCCTCGTTTGGACAGGCCTCGCGTGAACACGCCGCTCACAGGCAGCGGACGCACGCAGTATTGACAGAGTACCTGTATGATGCCAAAGACAGAGCCGGCGACGTTTTCAACAAAGACGAATTCACCGGCAGACGCGTAAGTTCTTGACTGGATCATTGTTCTCCTTGTCTCATGGGATTGATTCATAAAAGAAATACTATTTTTTGCAGCAACTATGGGCTTCTACACATTGAGAGTTTCAAAGTCATCCATCGATTTGCCACGAGATAAACGCTACACTCGTCTCATCGATCTACAATGTAGATTCTCTAGGTTGCTTTTTCTATGTTGTGAATATACCTGAATCTGCCACGTGGTTGGTCCGCATTCCCCCGCCGGGGTTCGTACAATATTCCGTCGATTGGTCCTCTTCTTTGCAAGTGTAGACTTTTAGGGTTCTTTATTTTCTTTGCCAATGCGATGCGATCACTGTGGCGACAGCGGCAATCTTCCATCCTCCCGGCGTCCGATGCGCTCGATCCGATCACGCCACAGCAGCAGCAACAGCGTCAGCGCTCCTTGATCCGATTCTCTCACGTCTCATCGCATTTGCGCATTCTCTCCCTTGCGCCAAGCCAGGACGCCCGTCTGTAAGTCGTGCGTGCCAGGGTGCCGGCGCATCGGATTTTTTCCAGGTTTTTTCCAGGCAAGTCGGACATGTCCCCTTCTTTCGCATTTCCCTAGTCATATATATTTTTTAGTGTCTCGGACCTTGTCATTTCCCCGGCAACTAGAGATTCCTTGCTCCATTTGCATAGTCCTTTTCCCTGGCACTACTTTATCGCCTAGTGGTTTGATATCTCTCCCTGTCGCCGGGTTGGCAGTGTTTGCGAGCAACTTCCACTTGCCTTCCCGGTGATTGGGTCCTAGTTGGATCTTCTTAGCTAGCATTAGGTAGTTTGATTCCCAAGCAAGCACGCATCTATTTTTCTGCGGTTTTCGCGTTTTTTTTACATTGTGGGCGAGCTTAAATTCTCGTTTCCTTACACTAAGATGTTGCCCTCTTCCAGGAGTCCTAGCTAGCGAGCGAGAGCGAGAGCGAGAGCGAGCAAGCGAGCGAGCAGCTGCTACGACTGCTGCTCGACGCAGCCGGTGCTGTTTAGCTGAGGAACAATGGAGCAGAAGTATGTCATGTGGTCGACCATCGGACTTGGGCTTGGTGTGGGGCTCGGACTCGGCCTTGCTCGTTCGAAGTCTTCCCCGAATGTGGGCTCTGCTGGAAGGCAGCTGCAGCAGCCGGATGTCTTAGAGCTGGAGCTCTTGAGCCAGATAATTGATGGGAAGGACAGTGGCGCTACTTTCGACGAGTTCCCTTACTATCTCAAGTATGTATCACTTGTGTTGGACCTTTGCTTGAGTTGTAATTTGTGTTGACTCTCTCGTTGCGTGACTTGTTGGTGTTTTGCAGTGAGCAGACGCGAGTTCTTCTTACGAATGCTGCCTACGTTCACCTCAAGCAAAGGGAGTTCTCCAAGTATACGCGAAATCTCTCACCAGCGAGTCGGACAATACTCCTGACTGGGCCGGCAGGTAAGACTTCCGTTTTTCTCCTCTTTTCCCTTGAGTGCCAACACGCTTTTGTACTTGGAGGTGCCGAGGCCTACCAGCAGATGCTTGCGAGGGCTCTGGCTCACTATTTCGAAGCTAAACTCTTACTCCTTGACGTTTCCGACTTCGTCTCCAAGGTACCAAGCTCTTCTTTATAGACGAGAATATTCAAGCAAAATGTGGATGTTTCAGGTTCAGAAAAAGCACGGCGATGTGAAATTTTCTTCTGAGGTATAGCTTTTTGTGGTTCCCCATTTTTGAATCTGATAATTATTGTCTGGTTCACAGCCATTGCCTGAGGTTTTGTTTCGAACTGTAAGCCAGTTCGCCAGTAACGTCGGAAGCTTAGCAACACAAATCACAAGGTCATCAGGCGAAAATGCCTCAGATTCTCAAAGGTCTTCATTTTCTTCTTTTCCCGGGAAAATTATTCACATGCGTGTTTATACAGTAATACATCTCCTAGCAAAAGTCCAGAAAATCTCTCTAAGTCGGGAAAAGCTCCAGAAGGTCGGACATGCATTCCACATTTTTTATATGGCAGCCTAATGTTTTGTTCTCTTGCAGCCTTGCCTTTGCGTCGGAGTAATTCCTTGGGACTATTTGAGGAGAAGTCACTGTTTAATGCATTGTTCAAGGTTTGCATACATAATGAATGCTGTTGCAAATGTTGTAACTTCTTCTACAGGTTCTCGCATCCGTTTCTGGGTCCAGTCCGATCGTCCTCTACTTGCGTGACGTAGAGAGACTTGTGTCGAGAGGCCCAAAGACATACTCTCTGTTCTTGAAACGTTTGAAGAAGCTTTCAGGCCCAATTTTAGTGTTGGGATCAAGGATAATGCAAACTAAGGTACAAGTCGTTTGTATGTGTTCTTCTGCATCTAAAGCGTTTCCGGCAGGACTCTGAAAGTGTAAATGAGAAGTTGGAGCACCTGTTTTCATACACCATCAACATTAAACCTCCCGAAGACAATGCAGTTCTTGTCAGCTGGAGAAGTCAGCTAGAAGAAGACATGAAAACTATTCAAGCTCAAGACAACCGAAATCACATTTTAGAGGTAATAACGTAATGAGGCTAAATATGCAAACCAGAATCATTCCCTGTCCAGGTTCTCGGTTCGAATGACGTAGAGTGTGACGACCTTGGATCCATTTGCTTCAGTGACACGATGCTTCTTAGTAACTGTAAGCTGAAAGAGTCTCTTTGCCTTCTCTCATAAGAATGTCTTTGATTTTTTTAGACATTGAAGAAATATTGGTTTCGGCGATTTCCCATCATCTAATGAACACAGAGCAACCAGATTATCGCTCAGGAAGGCTTGTAATTTCTTCTAAAAGGTTGGTTTTTCTTTTAGTTTCTGACGTTTCAGTTTTAACGTTGAAATATATGTCCAGTCTTGCTTATGGCCTAGAATTATTTCAAGCTGGGCAGCTTGACAGCAACGAGGCTAAATTACAAGCAGAAACAAAGGTGGAGACTTCGAAGGTTCGTGTTTCTCAAATTTTATGGAAAGTTAGCTCACTCGTGTTACAGCCGGAAGCTCAGGAAACAGTCACCAGAGGGAATGCGGACGTCAAAACAGATGTTCCTGTTGCGGAGGCGAAAACCGAAGTTTCAAAGCCTGAAGGACCCAAGCCAGACAACGAAAAGAAATCATCTGATACAACGAAGCCTGCTCCCGTTACCACAAAAGCAGTAAGATAGTTCGATGTTATGAACTGATGCCTGAAAATGTTGTTCCTTGTAACAGGACGTCCCTCCAGATAATGAATTTGAAAAGAGAATCAGACCAGAGGTTATTCCAGCTGGAGAAGTTGGAGTGAACTTCCAAGATATTGGTGCTCTTGACAACGTTAAAGAGTCGTTGCAAGAGCTTGTGATGCTACCATTGCGAAGGCCCGAGTTGTTCAACAAGGGTGGCTTGATTAAGGTACATCTAAAAGGGAAGAGGAAGAGCATACTAAATTTTTTTATGCCTTTATCAGCCTTGCAGAGGCATTCTTTTGTTTGGTCCCCCAGGAACTGGGAAAACCATGCTTGCAAAAGCTGTTGCAACGGAAGCCGGCGCTAGCTTCATCAATGTCTCAATGTCTTCCATAACATCAAAGGTAAAGTAGCAAGGCATCTTAAATTGGAGCTCCAGAAATGACGTGATATTTTTGACTTGCAGTGGTTTGGTGAAGATGAAAAGAATGTACGGGCTTTGTTTACGCTTGCTGCAAAAGTAGCACCTACGATCGTCTTCATTGATGAAGTATGTGTTCTATCAAGTTGCTTCCACTTTTACCGAAGAAAGATGCTATTGTGCAGGTTGATAGTATGCTTGGCCAACGATCTCGTGTGGGAGAGCACGAGGCAATGCGAAAGATAAAGAACGAATTTATGGCGCATTGGGATGGACTCTTGACCAAGGGTGCTGAGCGTGTCCTCGTTCTGGCTGCAACAAATCGTCCATTTGATTTGGACGAAGCAATCATCCGAAGATTCGAGCGAAGGTATCCGTTTGCTTTTTGAACGCTGAATTTTCTGACTGACTTGAACTTGACTCTTGTGCAGAATCATGGTTGGTTTACCAGACGTGCAAAATCGCGAGAAAATCCTACGGGCGATTCTTTCGAAGGAACATCTATCAAGTGACTTTGATTTTCCGGAGCTTGCCAACATGACCGATGGATATTCCGGAAGCGACCTGAAGGTACCAGTCCATATTTCAAATTTTCTTTTCCTTTGAGATGATTCACAAGGACAAGTCTTCCAGAACCTTTGCATGGCGGCTGCGTATCGACCCGTACGTGATTTGCTGAAGAAAGAGAAAGAGAAGAAAGAAAAAGCAGTAAGCTGTCCCTCTCTCCACATTGCGCTTTCTCCCAGTTCTAAAGTCTTGGTCTTTTCTTTCCTAGAAGAAAAAGAAACGCTCCTCCAAGGAAGAAAGCGAAGCTACTTCCAAAAGCGACAAGGAAGAAGCAGCGGCCAAAGGAGGACCAGCGCCGCCACCAACAGATGCAAAAACAGCCGACGATCTGTCTCTCAGGCCACTCAACATGGACGACATGAAAGAGGCCAGGAAACAGGCAAGCCCAATCTTTTCTCAAGTTGCATGAAACCTTTCGTTCTTACTCCCTCTACTTCCCAGGTCTCTGCCAGCTTCTCCGCCGAAGGAGCGGGCATGTCCGAGCTCCAAGAATGGAACGAGCTCTACGGCGAGGGTGGATCTCGCAAGAAGCAGCAGCTCTCTTACTTCATGTAAGGCCACCACGGCGCAACAACACTACCTTTACAACACGGTACTAGACAACACAACGATTACTGCCATTATACAACAGCAACGATTATACTACTATAACGATACTATTTGACAACCACAACACTAACAGGAATGGGTTGTAACACTTACAACCGATGGATTGGATACTTCCATATACTTCTAGTCATTCGTAGCGGTAGCTAGCTCAGCTACATAACAATTCTTTACTTTCATGCGTGGAAGCAGCTCAAAGCACTTGTACAGTCTATATAGAACACCGATTCTTTATACACCATGTGATTGTTATTTTTTCTCTCCAAGAAACTAGGAACCAAGCGAGAGAAACTAAAAGAATGCGTTGTAGTTTACCTGAGATCGTCGTCCACGGAAGAAGCATTGGACGCAGTGGAGGTTCTCCGCGAGACTGTGCGTGGCTTTGAGAACCGACTCGCCGGCTCGCTGTGGAACGGGGACGGTGGAGGGAGGCCGGGGAATGGCTTTCCTGGCTCGTCCGAGAAGCTGGATCCCGACGAGCGCCTCCTGTGCCTCCCTGCTCGAGGCGACTGCGTGACGCTGGCGCTCTCTAAAACACCACCCTTAGGAGAAACAACCGCTCGCTTTGCAGCGTCTGGCGGAGCGATTGACTCGCCGTTGTCTTGGAAGCATATCACGTTGACGCGCGTCCTCTTGAGCTCAGATGGCAAGTACTGTGCTCTTACGTCGTCAGCGCGAGCCTGATGGAATGAAGCTCGGATTAGAAGATGTTTTAATGGAACGAGAAAGCTCGCTCTCTACCTGTATGTCGTCCACGTTAGGGGGAGCTTGCACGCTTTCCTCGTCTTCGCTCCCTCGAGTCAAACGACGATTGTGCCCCGTGCTTTCGCTTGATTCACCACCAACGTCTTGCACTTTCTCGAGCAGGACCTCCCGCAGGGAGGTTAGCAAGGCCTTTGCATCGCTCGTACAATACAGGCTGAAAACGGACTCCAAGTAATCCAGCTAAAAAGTCACGAAGATCAAATCACATGTCCGGATCTTGTGAGCTCGTACCTCAAGCATTAGTTGACAGAACCCGTTGACGTCGAGATGGTTGAGAGCCTTGGACAGGTTTTCACTTGCTGTGGTGTGCAGCGCACGTATAAGCCCCTCGAAAAGAACGCATATGACCTTGCGGACAAAGGTTTTGGCTCCAGCGTAAACCTGCGGCGGGAGATAAACTTAAATCTTTCAGACACTGAGATGATAGAGCTTACCTCTGCATGTACAGCAACCAGTGGATGAAGAAGCTCCACCGCCGCGTCACGTATTCCCTAGACGTGCACAACAAAGAAACTCTAGCCAGCGAAGAAGTAGCCACAAGTACCTTGACAGGAGGAGCAGATGCCCATTGAGTCCCATCATCTAATATGTAACTGGCTGCAGTAGTTCCTACCGATGAAGCCTGGACGTCGTCAAAGAAATTTCATAACTGATGATGTCATAAGAGAAATACCACTCACCTTGACGTAGTTGTACTCATTCAAAATCTTGTCTTCTAAAGCCGAGAAGGCAGCCACAACTTCGCTTTCCGTAGGTGAAATTTCAACTACCGGCTCTTTGGCGTTCATTCTGTAAAAACGCACAAAGTTTAGATAAAATAGAGATCAAGTGCGAGCTGATACCTCTCTCGGGTCCAAACATCCTTGTGTTTGCTCGAAAGTTCTGGCAACAAAATACTTTTGATGAAACCAATATTACTTAGCACCATCAAGAGTTTCTGGTGAGGATTATTAACTTCCACCCCGACTTGAAGTCCGACAAACTTATTATTTGCCGAAAGTGTATCTGCAGCCATATTAACAATTTTTTTATCTAAGAGCTCTGCAACAAAACCACCATGAGCAGGTAAGCTTTTATACTTTGCAGAATGGTCACTCACCTAGAACGTCCAAAAAGCACTCATAAAATGCAGTCTGTAAAGACGCCTGCATCTGACCGAGTTGAGTAGCCAGATTATTAGGCGGAGTTGGCTCAAGTTTCACCTTATCCAAAACCCTGTGTTGATAACCTTTTCGGTTAAAAGAAAGGAAACAAAATCAGCCGGTAGCGTACTCTTTCATGTGTTCTATCGTTGAGTTGAGAATGTCACGAAGCTTCAGAGGAAGTGAAGAAATCGCATACGAGGATTCATTCCGTTCTACGGCGGGCACTGGTATCCAGTCTTCCTCTTCTACCAAATCGGAAGCCTTTTGCCGCATCAAAGAGCAAAACTTGAAAATAAATTGATGCACAAGTTCCATCTTTAACGTTGTCAATGTTTGAACTGTTAACCATCCATAACGTTAACAATACTATTTCACAACTTTAAGCTATACCTGCGCCGACAGGAGAACAATCCTTTCCAGAAAGAGCCGCACAAGCCTTTGAAAGCTCCCACAGAGCTTCTCGCATATACCAACGCATCTCTGTTGCTTCCGCGAGTGTCGTAAAAGCAGTGTGAACCTTGCATGGAAAATCAAACATTTTAAGAACAATTTTGAGAATAAAGAATAAATTCTTACTTTAGATTCGTACGAGCCTACAATTCCTTGGACCATAGCTACAACTTCATCGAGAGAGTGTGAAGTGTATTGAACAACCACTTTGGGTTTTTCTTCAAAAGGATAGTTTTCATGATCACGGTCTTTCGGCTCTGCCTTCTGTGTACTTGGACGTGATACCTTGACAAGGGAAACATTTATACATTCAACTAACGAAAGAAACCATTTAACGAACACTCACCTTTGCAAATTTTCCCTTGAAAATTGATAATGCCAGTCTCCAAAAATCAGGAACATACTGAATAATAACAGCTGAAAGCCTGCGTATAAGCCTTCCAAACAGTGCATCAGATTCGTCGTTGATAAAATCTCTAATTTCAGCTTCCGTTGCATCATCTTCTTGATCCACAATAAATAAGGAAATGTCAACCTCAGTCTGCAAAACCCAAAACATAATAAGCTACACACTAACACTCAAAGCGTCACTTACCGACTTTGGCGATTCACTTTGCAATTGCTTCCATCGGGCATCCGATTCCACTTTTTGCTGCAAACGTCCATGCAGGTTATCCATCTGAACCTCGTGTTCTAGGACGCATGCCTCAAGAATCGATCGAATCCGCCGCTCCTATCACCAGTTTAAAATATGATTCCCATTTGAAAGGCTTCCTTACTTGCATACTTAAGTACTGCCAGACAGGGTCAGAGTCAGGATCCAACTCAAGTAGTAGCCGTATTGCATTTTCGAGCTGCCAGATCGAGATGGTTAAGCATCTGTTATATCGAAAAAAATGCTATACCTGCGAAAATTCGGCATGAGGGTCTTCCATGCATCTCGAGAGCATGTCTTTTAATTCTTGCACAACTTTCTCGACTTCTTCAAACACGCGCTTTAATATTCTTCCCTGCAATGCATTGTTAGTAGGTAATCCCAAGGTCTGACTGCTACTAACATGTGAAGGAAGGACGAGCGACTTGGTCTTTTTGTACTCTCTCACAGCCATGTCATATTCACATTTGCTGATATGCCCACGTATTGCGCTTGGAAGGTTGAATAGTGTTCGGAAACGTTGCAGCATTCCTTGAACAGATCGAATTCGTTCAGCTTGAGCCTGAAAGCTAAGAAGTTGCAATTTCCAAAAATAATAAAATACAACTTGATACCTGCCGCTCGAGGAGAGGTCCAAAAGCTCGCTTTGCTACCTCGTCCAAGTCCTGAATAGCATGAGTTAAGTGTGCAGTGCCCGCGCCTTCGGCATCCGACTCTATCTGTTGCAATTTTGAGTGTATATCTGCAACAAGGAGTAAGCGACGAACCACTGAAATATCAGCACATACCGTCAATCGTATTTTTACACGATACAAAACACTCAAAGTTTTCCTTGACAAGAAGCTTTAGCTGCTGCTTTCGGTTTTGCAGATCCATTTTTAAAGCCGCGTCTCCGTGTTCCAAATCGGAGGCTTTGGTTCTCTGATGAATGCGTGCCAAAAAGTACTTCGGATCGAACTTTTCCGAATGATACAGCACTTTTTCTGCATTGGAAGACATAAATTTAAAAAAAAAACAATATTTCTATCTTTTCCTAAGAAACCTCGACTTGTAGGATCTCGGGCCGGAGCATCTTGCACTGGAGCTTTTGCTCCCGGAGAGGCTGAGTCACTTATCAACGTGAGGGACTTCAAATCTATCGTCCTGTTTGAGAAAGCAGAAGCTTAAGTCTCGAAAAGTTTAAAAGTAAGAGTAAAACAACTAGAGCACTCACCCGAGACCCAGAGGATCGATCAAATCCTCTCGGGGATAAACCTCTCCCCCAGCCATGGTCGCCCTGCGGGCAAGAGTCGACCTCCGCAATCCTGGAGCAGCTCTTGCCTCACGCATGGCACGAACTCTTCGGTGGAGCTGAAAGAAAAGCAGAGGAACGAAAAAAAACTAAGAGCAAAACAAACGAGAGAAGATCACTCTACCTCTTCTTCGTTAACTTTGCTCCAAGACTTCGGTTCTTCCTCCTCCACCTCCTCGTCACTAAAATCCTCGATCCCAAGATCCGCGTCCCTGCTCGCATCCACCGGCTTGGCAGTGGCAGCGGCAGCACGAGGAGCATCGTCGTCATCATCGTCGGAAGAAATGCTCAGGAGCTCCACTTCCGATTCGTCGTCCTCCATTGGATGAGGAGCTGGATTGTTTAATTGCTGGCGCTGTGCGGGAGGAGGAGCGGCGGGCGGCTTTCGAGAGGGCGGCGGCGGGCGGGTGTAGCGGACGTCTCGCTGCGCTTGCTCCTCCAATGCGCGCTGTAGCAGCTCCTCCTCGTCCTGGTCATCTTCTTCCTCGGAACTCGACATCATCAGCGGCGCACGACACAGAGATCCGTTCCAGGTGCTTTAGATTGTTCGCTAGATCTACGTCATACCTTGCCGCGCGAGCGAGAGGACTCTAACCCTAGCTCGAATTGGATCGCGCGCAGAGTTTTAGGGTTCTTCGTCTAGGGTTTATTGGCGATGATGATAGATCCCAGGCGCGTTGCTGACGATCCAGGAGGCGCAATGCGGTGCCGAGAGCACCGGCACTTCTCGCATTCCGCGGAGCTCCTGGCGTCGGAGGTATCCGATCGCCGCCTCCGCGAGAGCTGCCTGGCGCATTGGCTCGCGTCGCTTCTCCGTGTGATGATCCTGGTTTTCAATCTGATGCTCAGCTCCTCTATTTCGTGGAAAGGGTCCTAGTAAAGTCCAGTCGAGAACCCTAAAGAGTTGTGGTCCAGGGTTTCCGAGCTGGAGATGCCGATCCGCGAGGATCTAGTGAGAGTTCTCCAGATCAAACACCCCACCAATAGCTCCAGCACCTCCAGCGGGTGCGACGACGGCAATTCCAGATGGAGCCAGCGATTGTGCTCACGATTCAAGCTGGAATCGGTGCTTCCTTGTGTTTCTTGGATGTCGTCTTATCGAGTGCACGAGTATCTCAGGGACGATATTCTTGCTGGGATCACGATTGGAACCATGCTCATACCTCAGGTACTTAGAGCTTCCCTTTTTTCTCTCTTGTTTTTCTTTAGCTTGATCGATGTTTCTTATAGGCTATGTCGTATGCGAAGCTTGCCGGGCTACCTCCAATCTGTGGACTTTGTAAGTTTTCTATCTTCGCGATTTTTTTCTCTTTCGGTCTGTGCTTATGGTTTTCAATGTTTTCCAGACGCTGGCTTTGTACCAAACTTGGCATATGGTGTCTTTGGTTCCTCTCGTCAGGTAGCAAATGGTCCAGTAGCTCTTGTGTCACTTCTTGTGTATAATGTTCTCTCGGGAATGGTCCCTCCGGAAGCTGAAAACTACACACAGCAATATGTGGCGCTTGCTGTTCTTTTGGCGTTAATGGTAGGCCTTTTGGAATGCACCATGGGAATTTTGAGGTAAACAGTTTCTTGCCTCTTCTCTTAAGCTGTTAACTTCGTCTTGAATCCACAGGTTGGGTTGGCTTGTTCGTTTCATCAGTCACTCTGTCACCTCGGGGTTTACTTCGGCATCCGCGATCATAATCGGACTCTCACAGGCCAAGTATTTCCTCGGGTACAGTATTTCAAGGAGTACAAAGATTGTGCCTCTTCTTTGGAGTATTATGCAAGGGTACAAGGAGGTATACTTGTCCTTGTTGCTTGAGCCTTACTGTTTTATTTCCTCTTTCATGTATTCAGTTCCAGCCGATTCCGTTTCTGATGGGATGTTTAATGCTGTCAATTCTTCTTTCTATGAAACATGTGGTAAGCTAAGTTCTTCGTACTTGTCGGTCTTTAGTTTTCAACTTCTTTCCAGGGGAAAACAATCAAGCGGTTCAGATCTGTACGAGCAGCGGGGCCATTGACGGCTGTTATAATCGGAACTGTTTTTGTTAAACTGTTCCGTCCGCCATCTATCAGTGTGGTAGGTATGCCTTTTCACAGCACCTGGTTCCTTTAGCTAATAAAATGTGTTTTAGATAGGGGAGATTCCCCAGGGGCTACCACAATTTTCTTTAGACTACGATTTCAAGGATGCCAAAGGATTGTTGTCAACCGCATTTGTAATAACTGGTGTAGCGATCTTGGTGAGTAGCTGGCACAAAGAAAATACTGTCATTAACGTGACATTCTTCGCAGGAATCAGTTGCTATTGCTAAGACGCTTGCAGCAAAAAATGGATACGAGATTGATTCCAACCAGGAAGTAAGGATGTCCTCGTGTTATTGACTGATTGTGACAAATCTTTTCAGTTGTTTGGACTTGGTGTGGCAAACATACTGGGTTCATTGTTTCAATCGTATCCTACCACTGGTAAGTTTTATTTAAACTCTGAGCTTCGAACTAAAACCAATATAATGCGCGCAGGATCCTTCTCTAGATCTGCCGTCAATCATGACGCGGGCGCACACACCGGGTTATCGGGAATCGTCACGGGATTCATGATTGGTTGCGTGCTTCTGTTCTTAACTCCGCTTTTCTCAGATATTCCACAGGTTAGTAGACTGAAACATGCTACTAGTCTCCTCTTACCTCTTACTTCCTGTTCAGTGTGCTCTAGCGGCTATCGTTGTCTCCGCCGTGGCAGGGTTGGTACGTGGCCATCACGCTTTGATAATTGTCATCGCTAATATGTTATGGATACAGGTTGATTACGATGAAGCAATATTTTTATGGAGAGTCAAGAAAAAGGATTTTTGTCTTTGGGTTGCGGCATTCGCCAACACACTATTTTTTGGTGTTGAAATTGGGGTGCTCATTGCGGTATGTGAATCCCTTTATATTCCTTCCTTTTTAACTCTCACATAACTGCAGATTACGCTTTCATTGGTTTTTGTTATCTACGAGTCAGCAAATCCCCATATTGGTGAGGGAATTCTCCTTTTTCTTTCGCTGGACTGTCTTATCTTTTTGTTTCAATCAGCCATTCTGGGACGCCTCCCAGGAACGACAGTATACAGAAACGTGAGACAGTATGCAGACGCGTACACATACCATGGGATCGTCATTGTACGTATTGATGCCCCGATGTACTTCGCAAACATCAGCTTCATCAAAGACAGGTCACCCTCTCCTCTCTTTATCTTTTGTTAAAGCGTGTACGTGCTTTCCCTTCACTTTTGTTTCACGCACTTCTTGCAGGTTGAGGAAATATGAGCTGTGCTCTAAAGGCACAGCCAGCAGGGGCCTCAGGACCGAAGACATCCGCTTCGTCATCATCGAAATGTCTCGTAAGTTCTGACCGTCTATGGATGTTTCTAACGTTTGGAGCAGCTGTAACTTACGTCGACTCAACTGCTATTCATGCCATCAAGGAGCTCTACCTCGAGTACAAGTCGCGCAACATTCAGGTTTGCGAATTTTCCTCAAGAGCTGGAGTGACCATGATAAAGTTCTTGGTTTTTTGTAGATGGCACTGTCCAATCCAAACGAGCAAGTCATGAAAACGTTGGATCGAGCAGGCATTCCCGAGCTTATTGGGCTCGAGTGGTACTTCGTGCGCGTTCATGATGCCGTCCAAGTTTGCCTCTCGCGCTTGCAAAAGGAAAACTATCCACGCCCAGATGGTGATGAAAGCGCTCCATTGGTAATCGTACAGAGAAGAGGCGATTAAAGTGTGGTGTGTAAAGCATACCTTTTAGACTGCTGGCATATTCGATACGGACGGCCACGATCGGTTAGAAAACCATCCCGTTTGCATTTCGAATGATGAACGCGCTGGATTTTAGGGTTCTTCGCAACGACGCGCTCTCGCCGCTCGCCGCTTGCTGCTTGCTGCTCGCTGCTCGATTTGTGCAATGCTGCAGATCGCCACGATGCATTGGAAGGGATGTCAAAGGTAGTGCGGAGCTCCTGATCGATCGGTGCCAAAGCCATGAATTTTCGCACGCGCGACCGAGAATGTAGCCTCCCCGCTGCCGGATTTCGTTAGAGATGGAGGAAATCGAGCACGTCGTGCAGGTTTTCCGGGGGATGCACTTCAACGAGAGGGCGTTGGAGAGGAAGTATGCGATGGCCTTCACAGGGCCGATCGATCAGCTCTTTGACGACGAAAGCGTCAGGATTGCTGCCGCCAGAGCGCTAGAGGTATGTCTTCTTTCTTGCATTTCTTTCTCTTTTCTTAGTTTTTCTTCTCTTCTTGGTAGAACAACGAAGGGGATTTGAGCGCAATCGGAGACAATGGCTACAGGGCCGTGATACATGAGCTCTTTCTTCTACAGAAGTGCGTCGAGAAGGATCCCATGCGTGTTGGTGTGCCGCGAGTAGAACTGCCCAGCCCGCTAGCGAAGAAGGCGAAGGCTAATGCTTGGAGTTCTAGCCGACCCAAGCCTGGACAGCTATTGCTGGAAGCGGCTACTGAGAAGCTTGCGGCCACCGAGGACTCGAGAATCTGCAGCAATGTTTGTGACGAGAACTTTGCGTCCACTTCCGGCCGAGACGAGGAACTTCCGGAGTTCCCTCCTGGCTTTGAAGATTTTGGAAAGGTAATGCTGCTGCCAGTGCGTCAAGCTTATGACTGGGGGATTGTCGTCCAAGGCTGTGAGCTCTCGGAGTTGAAGGGGCTGCTCCATAGCAGATTGGAGATCGTTCCAGCGCCGGCCGATGAACTCGCCATTGTTTCGTGCGAGGACAGTGGTGGAGTTTTCAAGTTTGTGTCGGGCGTGGTGGCGGAGATGTTTTATGAGGCTTGCGTGACGAGTCCACCTGTGGTACAAGGGAGGGAGCTTTCCGTTCAGAGGCTGTACGCGCCGGCTGAGATTCCTTCCGTGGACTTCGTGTGGCGATCCTCGTCAACTTTGCTTTACTTTCGGGGAGACGGGGCCCGGAGCAGCCTCAAGCAGCACTTTGAGAAAGTTTTGCCGGAAAAAAACGTTGGAGAGGTGGTCCGATCGATGCATATCTTTCCGGAGGGATTGGACGCACTGGTGGAGCTGGAGTCGGACCTGGTAGCGGATCTATTCTTTTACCGGTGCGGCAAGAACAGGTGCTTGGAATGGGATTTCCTGGTCTGTCGTAGCAAGGTCATGCCACCGGACGACGAAGTGGAGCCCTTCATCGACGTAGTGTCCATACCTGACTTGAACTGGCCGATCAAGAGTATCAACCAGGCAGCGGACAGCAACAAGGTGCCACAGCCGGCATCCAAGAGGCTTGAGATTCGGCTTCTTCCCGATAGTGTCCAGGCCGTCAAGGCGAAAGATACTCAGGCTGCGGGTGAAACACAGTTGCCGGTCAGCGATTCTGATACTCGGGCGCTCCGAGGCGATGGCAACTTGAAGACTGGCACTACTAAGGCTCCCCGTCCGACGAAAGGAAAAGAGATTCCGTTTCAACTTCGACTCATGCCTGCGAGCAAAAAGCTGGTGGTTCTCGAGGATGATAGAGCTTGTCTTGCAACGTTTTTCGAGACCCTTCTCCTGTGGAGAAAACCGGACGAGTGCTGTCAAGTCTGCAGTCCGCGGCCCAACATGTCGATTGTCAAGTGCAGCTCCGAAGCTGCGGCGGACGCCATCATGGATGCGTACGTCGAAGAGCCGCAGAAGTTTATCGTCGACGGCCAACCGCTTCAGGTCCTCCGAGACAGGTCTTACCATCGTCCCGGCGCGGTCAACAAGATGTATACCGTGGAGGACGAGGACCCAGGTGAAGTCAGCGTCTCGGGCCTTCCGGATCTCCCACCGCAGTTACTCAAGGCGGCTCTTCGCGAGCTCCTGGATAGGACGTTCGCGTCGGACTCGTCCGTCAGAGAGCACGGAAACGGGCTGTTCAAGGAGTACCATCAGAAACACGGCGTGAGCTACATTAGCTTCTACACCGTGGCGACCACAGTAGCGCTGCTTAAGCTCAAGCATCCCATCACGCTTGGTGGCAAAGTTCTCAGCTTCGAGCATCACGGCCCCAAGAGAGCACCGGAGCGAGGCTGGAGCCACAAACTTGACAGGCATGGCCGGAGTCACGAGCAGCACCAGCCAGGCTTTTGGCATGGTAAAAGTCCAAGCCCAAAGGAAGGTGAGGCATACTTTCGCCGAGCCAGGGGTCGTTCTACCGAAGAGAGGCAGCTCGGCATCGTCCGTCGAGAGCTTGATCCTTCTCCTCGATGCGATCCCTTCAACGAGAAGTTCCTCAGGCTTCATGAACCTCAGATTTTGGAAGGCGAGAGGTCAGTATCTCTGTTAAGAAACTCAAGCTTTGGTGTTCTTACTGTTTGATGGCAGGCATGGTCATCGTCGGAAGCGTTCCACCTGTATCGCATTCGAGGAACACTTCTATGATCACCGCCAGGTTACTTGGAAGAGGTAATCGATCGAGATTCGTGGTTTTGGATAAGAAAACTAACACAACTATGATCAGCCATGTAAATCTGAGTAAAAACTTTGCCAAGATGTTTTGATAAAATGCCTCGCACTGTCAAACACACCATAACATCGTTGGGTGTGATCACTTCTTAGAATCATCGTCCACGAGAATGCCCAGGAGCTCCTCCTCGCGATAGAGCGTATACCTGGACGAAGCAATCAAATCAAACATCTATCGAGGGAAGGAATCACTCACTCTTTTTGGCCGAGCTTGACAACTTTGCCGCCGTGCTCGGGCAGGAGGACCTCGTCCCCTTCCTTGACGCACAGAGGAATCATCTGCCCGTCCCGGAGGCGCCGCTTCCCAGTGGCAATCACTGTTCCCGAATTGTACTGCGTGACAATGACCAAATCTCAGACAAAAAGGAGGAAGAATCGAGCAATCACTCTACCTTGGTCAGTGAATCCGGCAGCAAGACCCCGCCCATCGACGCCGCCGGAGGAATAAACTTCTCCACGAGCACTCTGTCGAGAAGGGGAGCGAGCTTCGCGAAAGCCGCCATCGTCAACAAACCCTAAAATCCCGGCTTCGTCTAAAACCCTGGAAAGAGTTTTCTAGAACCCCAGATTCTATCAAATAAAGGTATATTCCATTAAACCTTAGATGAGCTTATCTACAGAAAAATCTCCCCGTCAAAACTCGTCTCCTTCGACCAGAGATTGCTCACTCTCCTCGATCGCTTTGGCGGCCGATGGATCGATCGCCCAATCACGCCGGATGGAACTCGTGGATGTTCTTAGCAGGATCCAGCTCTTTGATCATCTCGATCGGCCTTCCACCACCATCACCGCCTGGCTTCCTCCTTGACGGCGAAGCGTTCCTGTTGTATCCATCCAGGAGAGCCTTGAAAGTTATCTGCGTCGGCTGGCAGCCATGCTCGGTCATGTACTCGATCACGCTCAGCGCCTCCTTGTACAGCCCCAAGCTCGAGTAGCTCCCCACCAGCGTGTTGAAAGTGAAGTTGTCCGGCCTCACGCGAGCAGCCACCATGTCTCCAAACACCCGGGCCGCGTCGTCCATCCTGCCATGCTTGGTGTACGAGTAGAGCAGCGTGTTGTAAGTGATCAAGTTGGGAGCTTTGCCTGCTCTTCGCATCTCGCTCATCACCTCCTCGGCTTTGTGGTACATCCCTTCCCGTCCATACATGCTCATCAAGCAGTTGTAAGTCACGCCGTCGGGCTTGAGCTGCGCCTTCCGGATCTCTTCCAGGAGTTTCACCGCGCGCTCGATCCATCCCCGCTTGGCGCACATCGAGATCATGGCGTTGAAGACTTTGATGTCCGGCGAGTGGCCGTTGTCGTAGAGCTGGTTGAGCGCGAGCTGGGCCTCGTTGTCCATGCAACACTTGCAGTAAGCGAGCACGAACGTCTTGCACAGGATGCCGCTCAGTGGCTGCTTGGCCGACTTCTCCAGCTCGTCGATGTACTTCCGCAGCTGGAAGAACTGGCCGCTGTTGGCGTACGAGTGGATGAGCCCGGCGTGGCAAGCGTCGCTCAGCTGGAGCCCGGCCTCGGCCATCTCCTGCGAGACTTTCTCGCACTGTTGCCACCGTCCTTCCCGAGCGAGCGAGGCCATGAGTGCGGCGAAAGTCGGCACTGTTGGCTGCAATCCTGTCCTGAGTAGTCCCTTGTAGATGTCCACCGAGTAGTCGACGTAGCCACACCTGCCGTAGCACTCTATCAGGATGTTGAACGTGTCCACCCCTGGCATGTATCCCGCTCTCTTCATCTCCCTGAAGACGTTGGACACCTCCGTGAGCATCCCGCAGTTGCCAAACGACTTGAGCAGCGAGTTCCAAGTCACCAGGTCCGGCGTGCAGTTCTTCTCTTGCATGAACTTGAAAACTTTCATCATGTCGTCCAGCTTCTCCATCCGGCCGTAGATGTCGATCAAGATGTTGTAAGTCACGATGTTGGGCGTGCAGTTCGTCTTTCTCATCTCCGTGAACGTCTCCAGAGCCTTCTCATACCGCTCCGCACGGTTGAAAGCCGAGATGAGAGTGCAGTACGTGAATTCGTCCGGACACAGGCCTTTGGAGAGCAGGCTCTTCTTCAGAGCAGCCGCCTCGTCGCAAAGCCCGGCTCTGGCGTAGGCCGCAATGAGCTCGTTGTAAGTCACGATGTTTGGAGAGATCCCGGCGGCCTCCATCTCGACGAGCAGCTCCGAGGCCTCCTTGTGCATACCACCCTTCCCATAGACGTCGAGCAGCGCGTTGTAAGTCACACGGTTTGGACAGCAGCCGGCTTCCTTCATCTCCTGGAAGAGTCGCAGCGCTTCCTGGCAGTGGCTGTTCTGGATGCACGCCGTGATCATGGTGTTGTACGTGTAGTCGTCGGGAGAGATCTCGAGATCTTTCATCTCCTGGAAGAGCGACTGAATCCTGTCCCACGAGTCCCCTCTTTTACCGTAGAGGTCCAGCATCACGTTGTAAGTCACCGCATTCCCTCGCTGGCCTTCTCGTTGCATGGTCTCGAAGAGAGTGATGCCTTCGTCGAATCGCCGGGCTCTCGAGAGGATGCTGATGAGCGAGGTGTAAGCGTACACGTCCAGACTGTAGCTCTCGTCCTGCTTGAGGCTCTCGAAAAGCTCCAGGGCCGCGGGGAGCTGTTCATGGTTGCCCAAGACGCTGAGGATGGACGCGGTGGCGACGCCCCGGAGCTTGAAGCAGTCGTGCTTCCTGATCCATTCGAAGACTTCCAGCGCCTTCTTCCACTTTCCCTGGCGTCCCAGTGCCTTGACAAAGTAGACGAGCTCGGAATCCGTGAGGACGAGCTCGCCGGCGATGAATCCCAGCAGCTCCGTGGCGTCGGAAGAATCCTCCTGCTTAGAGATTGATGCGAGCAGCGAATGCGCCGCCTTCGACACGTCGCAGGGCTTGCCCTCCGGAGGATAGCGCGCCAGAGCGCCCAGCCGTTGCTTTGGCAGGGGAAATCTTCGCTCGCTACCAGCGCTGCCGCTGCCGCTGCTGCCGAAGATCGCTTCCAGGCTCTGGGATGGAAGAAGAGCAGCCTCGGGAGGAGACTTGTCCGAGATTTTCAATCTCACTGCCGCGGCCGCCTCCTCGATCGAAGAAGGGGAGGAGATTCTTACCGGAGCGATCGGCGCTGGAGCAAGCTCTGGAATGTGCTGCCCCGCGGCCGAGCAGCGACAGGAAGAGCCGATCGCCGAGACGAACGCCATAGCCGCGCGCTACATTTGATTCCCCTTAGGGTTTATCATAAGGGTTTAAAAACTAGTTCTAGGGCTTCAAGAACTAGGGTTCCTGGGAAGTGAGTTCCAGAGTAGAAATGGAGGCGTATCTCAGCAAGCGCTATGGCGCCGTGAAGGACAGCTTCGATCTCAAGCCCAAGAAGGCGAAGAAGAAGAAGAAGAAGAAGGATCCGGCACCGGCGAGCGCGGGTAAGGGCAAATTCCAGGGCGTGATGATCGTGGACGACGACGCAGAGTGGCAGAAGAAGCTCAACGATTCCGACGAGGGCGAGGAGGAGGCCCCGACGATCGTGGAGGAGGACGACGAGGTAACGCGGGTCAAGCGAATGGATCTCCTGCGGCGAAGGACTTATCTCGCCATTGGCGACGATGGCAGCGGCTGGGTGGATGTTACTTCAGGGAAGAAATGCGCGGACGATTTGTCTCCGGCTCGGGGCCCTCGCCGGGCTCGTCTGGACACGCCGGATCATTCTCCAGCTCGGGAAGATCTATCTCCTCCTCGCCGGACTCGTCAGGACACGCCAGACGGAACTCCAGCTCGTGAAGATTTATCTCCTCCTCGCCGCTCTCGATCTCGTGAAGACTTGTCTCCTCCACGACGAAGGCGCGACCAGGAGGACCTAACACCACCTCGACGTACTCGTCAGGGCACTCCAGATTTGTCTCCAGCACGACGGTCTCGAGGTGGTGGATCTCCTGCTCGGGGTGGAGACGAGGATTTATCGCCACCTCGTAGAACGGACTTATCTCCTCCTCGTCGAAGCAGGCAAGCAGAACTCCAACAAGATTTATCTCCTCTTCGGCGGAGAGACGCATCAGAGAGTCCTCCTCGTCGAAGAAGGAGCCAGGCAGAGGCAGAAGATTTATCTCCGCCACGGAGGCGGCGGCGGCGGGGGTCTGAGAGTCCTCGTGGAAGGAACCAGGCAGAAGAAGTAGTAGATTTATCTCCCCCCCGTCGGAGACAGCGGAGAGACACCGAGGACTTATCCCCGCCACGCCGGAGCAAAGCTGGCGGCGACGACTTATCTCCACCCCGTCGTAGGCAGCGGACAGACACTGAGGACTTATCCCCGCCACGCCGAAGGAGTGGAAGCGACTTATCTCCTCGTCGCAAAGCTGGCGCCGGTGACTTATCTCCACCCCGTCACAGGCCACGGACAGACACATCTCCACCCCGTCGCAGGGAGGACTTGTCTCCTCCTCGCCGGAGGAGTGGAAGCGACTTATCTCCGCCTCGTCGCAAAGCTGGCGGCAGTGACTTATCTCCACCCCGTCGCAGGCAGCGGACAGATACCGAGGACTTATCTCCGCCTCGCCGGAAGAGTGGAAGGGACTTGTCTCCTCCTCGTCGCAAAGGTGGCGGCGGGGACTTATCTCCTCGTCGAAGCCGGGGAGAAGATCTATCTCCGCCTCATCGTCGGAGCACCAGCGACCTCTCACCACCACGCCGTGGCCGGGTTGACGACGCCTCGGACAAGGCCAAGGCCGGGCTCAAGACAGGCTCGGAGCTCCGGCACGAGATAACCGAGAAGCAGTCCCAGGACGCGAGGAGATTCAAGCAGCTCGACTCGACGCTCACGGGGCGTGGTGCCGAGACGGTATACAGGGACAAGCACGGGCGGAGGCTGGCGGGGCTGGAGGAGCTGATGAAGCAGCAGAAAGGCCCTGCCAAGGAGCCGGAGAAGCCGCTCGAGTGGGGGACGGGGCTGGCGCAGAAGAGGGAGGCCGAGAAGCGGCGGGAGGAGATCGAGGCCGAGAAAGACAAGCCTTTCGCTCGCAGCAAGGACGATCTGGACGCCATCTACAAGAACAGAGTGCGCTGGGGGGATCCCATGGCTCATCTGGTGAAGCAGACGGACGAGGTACTGCTGGGGCTGGAAGACTTTGGCAGGAGCGACAAGATGAGGGAGTCCGGGTTTAACGTTCCGCAGGGAGTGCCGGCGCATAGCTGGCTCAAGCGCGGCCACGCCGCGACGCCAAACCGGTATAACATCCGGCCGGGGAGGCACTGGGATGGCGTGGATCGCAGCAATGGGTTTGAGGAGAAGCTGTTCAAGCAGCAGAACGAGAAGAAGGCGATGGTGGACACGGCGTATCTGTGGTCTGTTGCGGATATGTGATGGTTTCATCTGTGGTAACATGAACGAAAATCTGAAAAGTCTGTTTAGAAGCGACCAATTTTTGGTTTGGTTAACCAAACCAGTGGAATATGCTTGAATATTCTGGGATATCTTACCTTAGATTAATTTTATATTTATAAAACACTTTCTGGTATATTTTAATTTTATTCTACCATTTAATGGTTGATAAAGATTAAAATTGTGTTTTATAATTATCAATTCGCAGAAAATTTTAGAAAAAATTATTTTTTAGATTTTGTAACCTTGGCTTGAAGCTAGGACAAGTGCGCCAACATTCTGGCGATCAATCTCCAAAATCCTCTTTGTGGCCCGCACGCCTCTTTCCTGATTGAGGGTCCGCCCACGGGCGCATGCGCCCAGCAGGCACCGCCAGTCCACCACCTCGGGCTTGTACGGCATGCTCGTGATGAGCTCCTCGCTCTCCTCGAGCCGGCCCAGCCGCGCAAGCAAATCAATCACGCTGCAGTAGTGCTGCTTGTATGGCCTGACTGAGTAGTCCGCCACCATCGATCGAAAGCACGCAATGCTGGGCTCAATCTCGCCACCGTGGCTGGATGCGAGCAGCACACACGCAAACGCCATCTCGTCCGGGAGATGGATCATTGTCATGGCAAGGAAGAGGTCGATCGCGGCGGTGGCGCGGCCGTTGTGGGCGTAGGCCGCCAGCAGCGAGTTCCAGGCCACCGGCTGGAGCTCGGGGATGCGATCGAAGAGTGCCCTGGATGCTGCGAGCTGCCCGTTTTGGGCATATGCCGAGAGCATTGTGTTCCAGAGGATTGGGTCGCGGTGATCCATGGCATCAAAGAGCTCCTTGGCTCGATCCAGATCGCCGCTATTGGCATGCGCGCACAGGATCGCGGTCCAGGAGACGAGGTCGCGCTCGGGCATGGCGTCCAGGGCGCGGGATGCGTGGGGAAGATCACCGGCCTGGGCGTATGCACCAAGGATCGCGTTCCACAGGATTAGATCTCTCTCTGGAGCGCAATCAAAGATGTGTTGAGCTTGCTCGAGTCTATTTTGTTGCGAAAGCGCGTAGAGAATCGAGGTAAGAGATACAAGGTTGTGCTCGGGCATGGAATCAAATACTTTCTTCGCTTTATCCAGATGCCCATTCTGGGCATACGCTGATAAGAGACCATTCCAAGATATTAGCTCCCTCTCCTCCATCAATGCAAACATTTTACTTGCGGAACCCACGTCACCATTGCGTGCGAAGCCTGATAGCATTGCGCTCCAGGTGACAAGATTTTGCTCCGGCATGGATTCAAAGACAATCTTTGCCTGATCCAGATGCCCGTGCCGGGAAAATGCGGTGAGCAGCGCGGTCCAGGAGATAAGATCAACCTCCGGCATCGAGTCAAAGAGCATCTTCGATTCCTTGAAGCTGCCGTGGCGGGAGTAGACGCACAGCATCACGGTGGAGGCGATGAGGCTCCAGTCCGGCATGGCGTCGAAGATCTGCTTGGCGACCTCGAGATACCCGACTCGGGCATACGCTCCCAGCATGAGCACCCAGGTGAAGTGGTCCTTGGCCGTGATCCCATCGAAGACACGCCGTGCCTCGCTGACGCTGCCGCAGCGGCCATACATCTCGATGAGCAGATTTTCCAGATGGGCGTCGCGGTGGATTGCTAGCGATTGGCAGAGGCGCGAATGGAGTTCCCTTGCTGCAGGCAGGCTGCTGCATGATTTGATCCGCCGGACGAGTGCGTTTCGATCTGGGCGCATTGGCCCATACTTTAGTTAAAGAAGTGCTCTCTGTTAGTCTCCTTGACATGTACGTGCATGGGTCGCCACCCAAACGCGGACGTCATGCAAAAGATCGTTTGGGTCATTCCTGTTCATATATCCAAATTTTATCAATAAAACCATTCCCTTTAATAATATTTTATGCACTCAATCCAGACAGGGGCATTTGTGCCATTTAACAATTAACTACATAGGAGTATTGTTAGTATCGTTAGAGAATAAATGTATAATTTATTATAAATTGGGTCTATGATGTATGGCTACAATGTCATGTACTAATATTAATGTAGAAATTTTTTAATAGTGGCTGGTTTTAATTTGGATAATTGGGTTTTGCAAATTTCTGTATTCCTCTATTATACCACATGGAATATAGAAAGTTTTTAAAGCAATTTTTCAGCAATTATATTGGTTTAAAGTCAAGTATGTATATATTCCATATATCTATATATATATATATATATTTATACAACCATACATAATTGAATTTATACAACTAAACATACTATTTCTACATTTAACAACAATTTCTTGCTTTAATAAATAATAATGCTAATAATTATAATTAAAGCTATCTTGCTTTTAGAGTTAGTTTATGGTAGATGGCCGGCAAAAGTAGATTGGGGAATTAATAATACACTATTAGAGAATGAAGTTAGAAGAATTGTTGAGAATGGATTTTTAAGTATTGAACAACGAATTGATAGATTCAATAATGATTATCCAATTAATTATGAGGGGTCTGCTATTATTTTATTTGAACGAATGATTGGAAACCCACCAAATTGTCTAGTAGGTGATATATCTAATTCTAAAATTAGTGGTAGTACAATTAGATCTGGAATACAGTATATAAAAAGAACATATAAAAATCAAATTATCAATGCATGTTCTAGCATGTGTGATATTACAAGTCGTAATTATAGACTTAGATATATTATTGATCAATGGTGGAATAATAGTAATATACAAAATGATTTTGAAATTACTCTTACAAATCCCTTAGCTTATTTGGATTATAGAAATTGTGATGTTACTCATAGTACATTATATGCTGGATTTCCTAGAGATCATTTGTTAGCTTCTGAATTTTTAATATCTCCAAATGGTAAAAATATACTTTATATATCATCTGATTGTAAACTTTTATTATACTCTGGAACGAATAATTTATGGATATCTAAAAATTCAAGAACTTATCAAGGATTTTGTAAACTTCTGTTAAAAAAAAATGGCAATCTTATATTATATTCAGCATTAGAAGAAAAAATATGGTCTATTGATAAATTTTGTTCTAAATTATCTCATTGTAAGTTTATTACATTTTTAACAGTCCAGAATGATTGTAATCTTGTAATATATTCATCTAAACCATCAAAAGAAATATGGTGGGCAACAAATACTCATACCCATCGTCTTTGTATCAAATGAATATTTGAATTAATTGTCAAGAACAACTATTTGATTTACTGTCAAATTTACAGCTTATAATCGACCTTGAAAACTACATAATATTTCAAAGGTAACAATTGTTTAATTCCATTGTTTTTTGATTTTACACTGTCGATTTTCTAATATTCACATCCAACACCGTCGTGTCGTCCGCTTGTCCTCCCGATTTGAGAGCAAGCCGACCTTCATCCAAGAACTTCCTCACCGCGCTTTCTACGTAATCGCTCGCTTGCCGGACGCTCATCCCCTTCCCGAAATTCGGGTAGCCATTCAGCCGATGGTCGCCGTTGAGCTGCGACGCCAGCTGAACCAGCTCTTCCTGGAACTCGGTCAGCTTCGCGTCCTCATCCACTGCCCTGTGACGAAGCGACCAAGGAGGCGTTGGAAGCGTCTCTGAAAAGAAGCTCACAGTAAGAATAAAATCCACTTGTCTCTCACGAATTTCTACCTGGGCAATCGGTTCTGGGGCTGCTGCGACCAGAGACAACGCTCTCAAAAGTCCCCGCCCAGGCATCTCTCTTCGTCAGGAAGTCCGACTTGAGATCAAAAAGTTTCTTGATAGTCGCTGCCAGTGACGAGTGCTCGAACTGTGAAGTAGGCGTCGGGCCATTTGGCTCATGGACAACTGCAAAGGGCCAGAAGAAAAACTAAGTGGATGACAACGATAAAACAAAGAGTACCTGTTCCTTTCTCGATCCAAGGCGACACCATGATCGTCGGCACACGAACTCCAAGCCTGTCGAAATCAAAGAAGCCAGGCTCCGGTCCCAAAACACCATCGGGATTCGGGACTCCAACGTTTGGAGTCGGGACGTGGTCGTAGAACCCCCCATGCTCGTCGTAAGTTATCACGAACAACACCTCGTTCCACTGCGGGCTGCTGCGCAGCGCCTCGTAAACCTCCTTGACGAGCTTCTGGCCCTCGGAGACGTCGTGCGAGGGATGATCGTCATTGGCGGGAGTGAGATCCAGATCAAAGTAGCGCTGCTCGATGACCGCCACGTTTGGAAGCATCCCGAGCCGGGCATGGAGCTTGAAGGCCGCGCGGTAGCTGTGGTACTTGGTCAGGTACTTGAGCTTGCGCAAGTTCTTGAAGAACAGGCAAGCCGGGATGTTCTGGTAGTAGATCCCGAACGAGAGACCGTCCTCGTCCAAGGAATCGTAGATGGTCTTTTGCGGGAATCCTTTCACCAGGTCCTTCTTCACGTTGCTAATCTCTCCATAAGAGGTGGCCGAGTGGACGTAGAGCCGGTTGGGCTGCGTGGACGTCGGCGTGGACGCAAACCACCGATCAAACACTGCAAACTCCATCGCCAGAGCTGTGTAGACTGGGACGAGCTCCGGGCGGAAGCCTTTCATCACCGTCTCGGAGAAGCCCTCCACCATGCTCTCGGCCTGCTGCGCGAATCCATTCATGGGCGGGGGGATCGCGGAGGTGTCGTTGGAGCCGAAGACCTGCTCGGTGATGGCCTGGAACGAATGCCCGGGGTCGGGGTCCACGAATTCGGCCGTGTCGGCGACGAAGATTTTTCGCGACGCGGGATCGGTGGTGGAGAGGGGATTGGACTCGTTGCCCTGGAGCCCGTCAATCTCCGGGTTGAGCTTCTTGAGCCAGCCCAGCATATGATCGAAGGAACGATTCTCCATCACCAGCACCACCACGGTCTTGATGGGGCCGGAGATTTTCTTCTTGTGCCTCCACCCGAGCTGCTGCTGCCACTGCTGCTGGTGCGCGAGGCAGAGATTCCAGGAGAGGAGAAGCCACAGCACCATAATCTTGGACGCGCTGACCGCTGGAATCGCCATCGCTGGCTCTCCAGTCGATCTTGCTACACGGGGAGAAGAGAGATTAGGGCTCTTACTGGAATCCTGCTGCTGTGCCGATTGGAATGGCGATCGGTGGAGCTAGAAAGATCGCCCGCCCGTACTAATGACCATCGCAGTGCTCCGCGAAGATACCTCCCTCTCACAAACAGTGACGCACGGCGCCATCGCCCATTTCCCCTCTTCTTCTCCGCCAACGACACAGCCGCCCAAGGAAGTGCTCTGGCCACTAAAATGCGGAAGCGTAACGGAAGGCAATTCTATTACGTAATGTCCAGGTCACCGGCGAAAAGCGCAAGCGACCGGGAGCAGCCGGTGGCAGGGGCTGCCACCTAACATGTCGTACAGCATATGTGATGCCATATACTTTGATTCGTATAAAGTCTCTCACTTTGAAAGTGGCTGATTGAGTCCAAAAACGAGAGCTCCTGTACGAGAGATACAAAGCACATGGTCAGAAAAAATTCGCGAGAAAACAAAAGAGAAAAAGTGCGCAAAAAAGCTAACGAAAAGATCAAATAAAATAAAAATCTTACCGAGAGTTGGCATGAGAATCGAGATAGCGACGAGGCCAAAGAGCTTGAGCACCAGTCCCATGGTTAAAGTATCAACGATTCTCAAGTAGCCTGTGGAGAAGGCGATGGCATTTGGAGGAGTGGCGATCGGGAGCATGAACGCGAAGGATGCCGTGATGGTGCCCGTGAGCATCATGTAGAGGGGGTGGATTCCAATGGAGAGCGCGATGTCGGCGAGCAGCGGGAGAAAGATGGTGGCGGTGGCGTTGTTGGACGTAAACTCGGTGGTGATGCTCACGAGCAGCCCGGCCGCCGGGGCGACGAGCAAGTATGGAGCCGAGTTGAGGAAGCCCATGTTTTGAGTCATCCATGCGGACAATCCACTCGTCTCGATCCCCTCCGCGAGAGCAAAGCCTGAGAGATAAGAAAAGAAGAAACTTTAGATCGATGATCAAAGTGAGGACTCTACGTCTATGGATTATAACAAGTTCTGTGAAGAGAGCCTTTTGCTAGTCAGTTCAACGTACCGCGCGTTCTCTCATCTGTGAGATAGAGATTGGGATAATCGCGGTTGAAGCTTGATCACCGCGATCATGGTCACCATGATCTATGGTTTCGATTCGGAAGGTTAGTTCTCTACAGTTCTAAGTTATGACTTAGAGTCAGGCTTAAAACAGGGCTTACCGCCACCCAGGAGCAAGACAATATCCCACGGAAGTTTCTTGCAGCTAGACCAATCCATGAGCATTTCTCCAGGAGCGAGCTTGTTCGGGATGACGAAAAGAAGCGTGGCCACCAAAATCTGATCGATCCAGCAAAAGGGACAAACGAAGAGTCAGCTTTCACGAGAACACGCTTTCCTTGGATTCGACCGCGAACCACGAAAACAAAAGCGAGAAAAAGAAAGAGAGAAATATCATAGCAGCCAGCAGCAAGACCCCACACCAACAACAGGCCACGGATCGATAGAGATTGGAAAGAAAAAGCGGAAGAAAAGGGAAGAGGTGCCGGCGGCAACTAGAGAGTTTGAGCTGATTACTTACACTGACACTGCCATCGCCAACGTAGCCATCGAAGAGCTGACCCCATCCTCCCACAGTTCCAAGTGACCGCGTCAGCCACAATGCGGCCAATATGACGAAGAGGCTTAGCACCGAGGCCTCGGCAAAGCTTGTAGGCCCTGCAGCGTTGAAACGACGATTAGAATACGATCAGAAAATAATATAAGCCGGGAAGGTAATATCGTGATACGAGACAATTGCAAGCCGCCGAAGCAGTGATGTTTATGCCGGATCTGCACATGGACATGCAGCATCGAAGCATACGTACCATGCATTGAAGAAACACCAGACGCGACAAGTGTGATGCTACACGGGAGAAGGAAAAAGGAAACAAAACAAACAAGAGAGTCTTGAATGCGCAAGCCCCAGCTTTGAGAGAATCATGAAAGTGTGGAGAGCGAAGAGCATGAGAACGCTTCCAATTGAGATGAAAGGAATGAGCTCAAAGGAACATAAACTCTCAGAGAAAGTGGGATGAAGCTGCGAAGAAGAAAGAGAAAACGACTCGAAACAAACTCAAACAACGCCAAAACCGTGACTTCGTATGCAAGAACACAACGCCGTCGAAAGAGGAACAAGGAAACAATGCCTGATCCGAGAAGAAAGACGTCGATCAGAGAATGCTTACCGAGAGAAGTATACTCCTCCTCGATGCTAGCGCGGTTGAGCGAGTGAGAGATGGCCGGAACAGCTGCGGCCCGGCAGTAGCGAAGGCACAGCATCCCCCAGCAAAAGATCAGCAAGCACAGCGCCAAGGGGAAGCCAAACAAGAACCACTGCAAGTAAGTCACGGGAGCGGCCGATGGAAACTCCCGGCTCCACATCCCCGAGAGTATCATATTGGTGCTCGACCCGGTGAGCGTCGCGAGGCCCCCGATGGTCACCGAGAACATAATCGCCATCACCACCGCGCGGCCAAAGTTGGCGATGTGCGCCACCTCCGCTGCGACCTCCTCCTTGTTCATCAAGAGATGGATGTTGAAGTCGCGGGAGAAGAAGGAGTTTTGCTTGGACAGCCTCGAGGAGTGGTTGTTCTTGCGATCGTCGTCCTCGGCCCCCCCGGCGGGCGATAGAGGAGGAAGGTTGCCGGATGGAATGGAAGGGACCGATTCGAGGCGCTGGACGTCCTCGGCTCCACAGGTCGGGCACAGCGAGTGGGACTGGATGTAGGAGATATGGCCGCTCTCGAGCTTGTGAAGAACACCGATTGACATGGGGACCATCATGATCGCGGCGGCGGTGTTGGAGATCCACATCGAGACGAATGCCGGGCCTGCGCAGAATCCCAGCAGCACCAGCCGGGGATCCATCTTGGATCCGCCGAAGAAGAGGAGCATCCGGAGCGCGAGGCGGCGATGGACCTGGTAGCGCTCCACCGCGAGCGCGAGGACGAAGGAGCCGATGAAGATGGTGATGGTGTCGTTCATGTAGCTCATGGCGACGTCGTCGGCGCTGGCGAGCTCCATGGCCGGGAGGAGGCAGAGGGGCGCCAGCGACGTGATCGCGATCGGGATGGCCTCGCTCACCCACCAGATGCAGATCCAGGCCAGGATCGCCAGCATTCGCGACGCGGGGCCGCCGCGATCGCCGTGAATCTTGACGCAGAAGAGGATGAGCAGCGCGGCCAGGGGGCCGAGCGCGATGGAGATTGCGCGCTTGTAGGCGGTGAGAGTTCTCCACGCCCTGAGAAGCCCAATTGCGCGTTGCCCCTGCTGCTGCCCGAGTAGCGGCTCCTCGCCGGTATCCTCCATAGCCAGAGAGCCCAATTGAAATTCACGGAGCTTTTTATAATTGTTATAAACCTAGGGTTCCTCGGGGGCTTTTAGGGTTCTTGTGTGGTTTGTGTGGCCGGCCCTAGATAGCGGCGCTTGCGCGGAGGCTGGAGGAGGCGCCGCGATGTTGATCTCCAAGAAGAATCGCGTGGAGGTGTACAAGTACCTGTTCAAAGGTGAGGGGATCTAGCTTCTCCTGGCGCGCTCGCGCTCACGCATTTCTAATCCGAGATTTCTCCCCAATTGTTCGGCGCAGAGGGCGTCCTCTACGCCAAGAAGGACTACAATCTCCCCAAGCACCCGGAGATCGATGTCCCCAATCTCCAGGTGATCAAGCTCATGCAGAGCTTCAAGTCCAAGGAGTATGTCAAGGAATCGTTCGCGTGGACGTACTACTACTGGTACCTCACCAACGATGGCATCGAGTACTTGCGGACGTTTTTGAATCTCCCGTCGGAGATTGTGCCCGCGACGCTCAAGAAATCCGCGAGGCCACCTGGGCGTCCCATGCCCCAGCAGCCCCCGAGGTTCGTTTTTCTCTTTGTTTCTCTTAGATTTTATGGTAGTTCTCTTTCTAGCTCGAAGTTCTAAGCTTTTCTCCCTGTTCTTTTCAGGGGTCCTCCACGATACGAGGGCGACCGGCCGAGGTTTGGCGATCGTGAGGGCTACAGAAGCGGCCCTCGAGGAGGAGGATTCGGGGACAAGGGAGGAGTTCCACCAGAATTCCAACCTTCTTTCAGGGTACGGTCGATTTCTTTCTTTGTGGTTTCGTGGCTGATTCGGGTGTGATTGTGGGGAGCAGGGGCCGAGAACTGGGTTTGGACGCGGTGGTGGTGGCTTCGGAGGGCCCAGTGCTCCTGGTGCTCTTGCGGAGTAGAGAGTTTGGTTTTTGTTGTGAATGCGCGAGCCTATATCACTAATTTGAAGTGGAACTTTTCTCTCTTTTGTGAAATTTAAAGAACATAGATTGCGGCGATGAAGATTTATTGCGTACTATGTTTTCGATCATGTTTATTCCATTCTAATGATATTTTAAGTAGTTAACTTTTGTTTTGGCATTACTGCGTTTGATTTTAGTTTGTGTGGATCTGACTGTTTTGCGTGTGCCATAGCATAACTTTGCTCTTCTTCTCTCTCTTGCTCTTCATGTATGCTCCCTGTCAAGCATCGCAAGAAGAGGAAGAGATTGGCTCACGAAGGAAGGCACAGGATTCTTCCGATAGTAAACATCTAAAAGAGACGAAGTTTTTCGTGGTCGGAATGGCAGTGGAAATGCTGGGGATGAAGATGGTGAACGAACTTGTGAAAGAGGCAAGCTTTTATGGATAGAGTTTTGTCGTTCGAGGGACTAACTGGGCTTCTTTCTTCTCTACGAAGGCGTACACCCAGTGGGTTCAATCTGCTCAAGCTGCGGCTAGAGCCGGATCTATACACCACGATTAACTCTCCTCAGTAGAATAAGTTCCAAAAGCAGTGGAATTTTCAAAGCGCGGGAGAGAAATGGACAAAAATGATCCTACTGAAGTGCGGAGAAAGCGCAGAAAATTTTGCGAAGGGGACACAAGAAGTTGTGAGAAAGAGGAAGGTGAATTGGATGGAAACAAGGGGAGAAGTATTTGATCTTGTGAAGATGCTAAACAAGTTCCAGTTCTGCACTGTAAGTTACGGGATTTGTTCTAGTCTTTCATCCTACTACACATAAAGAGATCAATCAGAGCTTTCATTGAAGTCGGGAAAGGAAACTCTTAGGGATCTTGAATAGTGATAAGTATGGAGGCAGTAGATCCCTTTTGCATGAGATACATTATTCGGAGATGTGGTTTTCTTTTAACTGTGAGAGCATTGTGAATGAAGAAGACAGACCAAAATCTTCTGATGGACTAGCACAGGACACAGCACGAAGACTTTGTTAACATCCTTTGGGGGATCCAGGGTTCTTAAGTTCTTGTTCCCATCACTAACATTTATATTTTTTACCATATTCCAGCTATGGGAGATAGCCAAAATAAGGGGAGGCTCATCAATTTCTTCTATAGCAATTTTCCATGCCTTTAGAGAAGCTCCACCAGTAGTCTAGTGGAGTTCTCTTCCTTTCAGAGTTTTCATGGGTTTTTATCCACAATTTCCTCTTCCTAACAAGTTAGCCAGTCATTCTACCAACTTAATAATTAAGCTATCCAAAATCCAAGGTTTCCCTTTTGCCAAAGTCTTTAATTCCAAAAAGAAAAGGAAATTTAGGTTATGGTTTTAGAACCCTAATAAAAGTGTAAGTGACTAAATTTTCTATTATATTTTAATTATTTAATCACACTTTTGACCACTTGGAAGAACTTCTGAGGTACTTGCAAAAACCCCAAAAATATATTATTTTCACATTTAATCTAAATATTCTTGAATCTCATCATAAACACCCAAAAGTATCACTAATATATTAACCTATTAATTAAGGTTATATTTATTCACTTTTGTCTTAGAAAACCTCATAGTCTCATCTTTCAAAAATCATAAATGGTCATTTTACACTGAATATCCTTTTTTCAATCCTTACCAATTTTTTTTTTATCCATGGTAGTGCTCACTAACACCATCATTGATTTGGGCTTCAAAGCTTGTCCATTAAATTTCATTAACCTCTTGAGACTTTTTCACTATATATTTATATCAAGTAAAAGGATTATTCATCTCCCTTTCCATAATTTTAGACTTTGGAATCAAAACACTGTAGTAACTTTGTAAATACTCCCTCTTGAGAAGCATGAAAGTGGGAGACACTAGAGAAGATAAAGCCACTTGCAATAGTTTTAGTTCTCAAAGCGTGTGGACAATAAGGACTATCTTCGATCATGCCAACAAGGAATGTTTCATTTGCCACTGGGATGCCCCAGCCATGTGGCTAAAGTGAAATTATGATGGGCCATACAAAGTATTTAAATAAGTAGTGCTACCCACACTTGATTGAAAGTATTAATTATTTGATCTTTTGGGAGAGTTAAAATTAGGCTTTTGAACACTTTATCAAGTCACTATATTTATCTATTTATATTCACTTTAGCTTTGGATTTTCAATGTTCTATGGAAGTGTAATTTTCCTTAGTCACCCTAGCCCCATTGGTTCCACTAAAGTCCTCCCTTTACTATATTGCAAAGATTAACCAAACCCTCTAGGGTTTTGGAGAAACCCATTTTGGGTTTTCACCCTTGGACTCAAACTCAAATTCAATCTCAGTCTTGGTATTAGTCTTAGTTTTAAACTTGGAGTTCATCTTGGATCTGATCTTGGCCTCCATCTCAAATTTGGCCTCAAACTCCATCTCAGATTCAATCTTGACCTCTATCTTAGATTTAATTTTGAACATGGTTTTGGACTCAGTCCTAACACTTTTATGTGTTACAACATTTGTTATGTGTCAATCATTCTTATGTCCCTTTCTAGAGACTTGATTATCGATAATTTCATGATTATATAAGTGACTAATTTTTCCATTTTACTTTAGTCACTTAACCACACACTTCACCATTTAGAGGAGTCTAACTCACAACCTCCATAAGTTTTATTTAGGACATGGGGACATGCCACTTAGCCTTTGCACTTGGTCCAAGTGCTCCACGTGTCCGATCCCATGATTGACACTCAAAGGTAACACTAACATATCAACCCATTACACTAAAGCCATGTTTATTCACCCTTATCACATCAATAGTCCAAAACCATCTGTATCACCATCCCAATTCTTAAAGATTGGGCTATCCATCGATGAATGGTCATCCCTTGACCACACATTAACACCTTTAGGATGCCTAGAGATATAAAAAACACCCTTCCCCAATGTCTTTTCTCCCGTCCCCACCAAGTTCCTCTTCATCTATAATTGTGTTTATTAACACTACCATTGAGACAAGGCCCAAAGGCTTGATCATTATGTCCTACTATTTTCTAAGACTTCCTCACCATATAACCGTATCCTTGGTCACTACATCAAAGGTTGCTCTTTTTCCTTTCCACAATTTGAGATTTTAATACACTATTTCAAAACATCGTGGCCTTATGTGGGTCTTATGGGTACTTTCCTCACCTTCCACATTTATGTGCCCTAACCATGTGGTTAGAATAAAGTTCTGATGAGCTACATTAAGTATCCAAGTAAATAGTGCCACCCACATTTGCATTGAGAGCCCAATCTCCTAAAGGAGGTAGAATTAGCTCTTGAACACTTCACCAAGCTATACTGCTTGTTTATCTGTATTCACTCTAGCCTTGGATTTCTTAATAGTTATATCATTACCTAATATGTAAGTATAAATTTCTTTAGTCACAATGGCTTTCCTGGGCTAAATTAACTCTATTAAAGTCTTCCCTTTATTATACTTTTAGAGCTCACCAAACCCCTTAGGGTCTAAGAGACAATCACTTTGGGCTTTCACCCTTAAATTTGGATTTGGATTTGGTCTCGATTTCTTTTTCGACCTTGACCTTGGTGTAAGCTCCTGAGTTTGGACTTCCCGAGAGGTCACCCATCCCAGTATTATTCAAACCCAAGGACGCTTAACCCCAAATATCCCAAGACCCTTAACCGATTGGAAAAGGGGGTGCACTCTTGTTCATGGGCCCTTTCCCTCTATATTTGAACCCCATGGATCGTCTCTCGAGTCGTTCCCTTTAGTTGCTTACAATCCACCACGCTTCCCTGCAAGTTCACGCCCTCGTGAACCCTGCAAGTTCACGCCCTCGTGAACGGAAGCTGAGAGCCGCAGCTCTCCCGAGAGCCCCGCTCTCTTGACACCCTACCCCTCGGGTCGAGCCCAGCGGGAGCAAACTGGACCAGCCAGATGTCAATTAACATGTGGTGTGATTCCCTTAGCCAACCAACAGAGTCGGACCCGAGACCGCTCCGATACCAAATGTAAGCTCCTGAGTTTGGACTTCCCGAGAGGTCACCCATCCCAGTACTATTCAAACCCAAGGACGCTTAACCCCAAATATCCCAAGACCCTTAACCAATTGGAAAAGGGGGTGCACTCTTGTTCATGGGCCCTTTCCCTCTATATTTGAACCCCATGGACCGTCTCTCGAGTCGTTCTCTTTGGTTGCTTACAATCCACCACGCTTCCCTGCAAGTTCACGCCCTCGTGAACGGAAGCTGAGAGCCGCAGCTCTCCCGAGAGCCTCGCTCTCTTGACACCCTACCCCTCGGGTCGAGCCCAGTGGGACAAACTGGACCAGCCAGATGTCAATCAACATGTGGTGCAATTCCCTTAGCCAACCAACAGAGTCGGACCCGAGACCGCTCTGATACCAAATGTAAGCTCCTGAATTTGGACTTCCCGGGAGGTCACCCAGCCTAGTACTATTCAAACCCAAGGACGCTTAACACCAACTATCCCAAGACCCTTAACCGATTGGAAAAGGGGGTGCACTCTTGTTCATGGGCCCTTTCCCTCTATATTTGAACCCCATGGATCGTCTCTCGAGTCGTTCTCTTTGGTTGCTTACATAGGTGACCTCCCGAGAAGTCCAAACCCAGGAGCTTACATTTGGTATCAGAGAGGTCTCGGGTCCGACTCTGTTGGTTGGCTAAGGGAATCACACCACATGTTAATTGACATCTGGCTGGTCCAGTTTGCTCCCGCTGGGCTCGACCCGAGGGGTAGGGTGTCAAGAGAGCGGGGCTCTCGGGAGAGCTGCGGCTCTCAGCTTCCGTTCACGAGGGCGTGAACTTGCAGGGAAGCGTGGTGGATTGTAAGCAACTAAAGGGAACGACTCGAGAGACGATCCATGGGGTTCAAATATAGAGGGAAAGGGCCCATGAACAAGAGTGCACCCCCTTTTCCAATCGGTTAAGGGTCTTGGGATAGTTGGTGTTAAGCGTCCTTGGGTTTGAATAGTACTGGGCTGGGTGACCTCCCGGGAAGTCCAAATTCAGGAGCTTACACTTGGACTCTATCTCAGACTCCATTTCAGGTTTATCTTGGACTCCA